ATCCGCGCATTGCATGGCGTAGGCCGTTACCGCGCGGGCAGGCTGTGGTATTTCTTGCGTGGATCCTGGCGCTATCCGGTAAAGTATAATCACGTCTTTGCGGAAACAGGACCGGGAGCCAGGCGAGGCTTGAATTTGATGCATGGCTTCCCACTCAGGGTCAGCACAGAGCGACAGGATGCGAGTACAGCTTGGCAATGTTCGGCTCTGCTGGCTCGAATGAAAGCGCTTGTGGAACGCAACGCTTTCTTGCGTGAGACGCCTCGTGACCCCAGGTCCCTGCAGCGAGCGAAAGAGGTAGTCCGCAAACCATTAGTGAACCCAGAAGGGCGCTCGCATGCTCTGTGTGAGTATGCCAAGACGGTTGCGCATCTCCGGCAAGCATAGCGCGCAAAATGGGCGGAGGGCAGTGCTTCCTTTCTTTCTGAACTGTGCAGATAAACTAACAAGTCTTTCTGATGCGAACTAGGCCTCCAAAGTCGCAACTCGGTACGCGGACTTCGTGTGCACAGAGTGCGACCGTTGCTTGAAATGGGACAGCCACCTAGAGGCTTACTTTCTTTCTTAGCTGTGCAGATAAGTCTCTCTGATGCGAATTCAGCATCCAAAGTCGCAACTCGGTAAGCGGACTTCGCGTGCACGGAGTACGGCCGTTGCTTGAAATGGGATAGCCACCTAGAGGATGTCCAGCAGCTTCGCCGCAGTAGTCGGTTCCACCGCTTGTACCAAAAAAGCAACACCCGATTTCGGCTCGAAAATGGCGGTTTGTTGCGAAGGGACAAACCTACGATTTCGGCTCGAAAAGAGCGGTTTGTGGGGAGGGGACAAACCCACGATTTCGGCTCGAAAAGGGCCGTTTCTGGCAATGGCAAAGGGGACAAACCCACGATTTCGGCTCGAAAAGGGCGGTTTGTGTTTCAGCTCCACAAAGGCGGCTTCCATGCAAGAGAAGGGAGGGAACGAGCACGGTTCCCGAACCGAGGCTGCCATGATAAGCCTTGCTGGCGCGATTGCCCGCCTACATCGCCAAGCGGTACACGAAGAGCACCGACCACTGGAAGAGACTCAGCACCGAGCAGCGTGCCAAAGGGTTTCTCGGCCTTGTCTCTGCTAGCAAGCTTTGTCTGGACCAGGTGCCTGTTCAAAAATCCTGGAACTTTTGTTTAAATCAGAAAAGACAAACTCCGACTTCGGCTCGAAAACGGCGGTTTGTGGCGAAGGGACAAACCCACGATTTCGGCTCGAACAGAGCACTTTACGATTTCGGCTCGAAAAGGGCGGTTTGTGGCGGAGGGGAAAGACAAACCCACGATTTCGGCTCGAAAAGGCCGGTTTGTGTTTCAGCTTTACAAAAGCGGATTCATGCAAGAAAAGGGGGGGGAATGGGTCACGGTTCCCGACCCGAGGCTACCATGGGAAGCCTTGCTGGAGCGTTTGCCCGGCTACTTCACCAAGTAATACAGACAAACCCCCGATTTCGGCTCGAAAACGAGGGACTAACCCACGATTTCGGCTCGAAAAGGGCGGTTTGTGGCGGAGGGGACAAACCCATGATTTCGGCTCGAAAAGGGCGGTTTGTGTTTCGGCTCCACAAAGGCGGCTTCCATGCAAGAAAAAGGGGGGGAACGAGCACGGTTCCCCAACCCAAGCTGCCATGGGAAGCCTTGCTGGACGTCGCCAAGCGGTACAGACAAACTCTCGATTTCGGCTCGAAAACGACGGTTTGTCCCTTCGTGGCGCAGGACAAACCCACGATTTCGGCTCGAAAAGGGCGGTTGTGTTTCAGCTCCACAAAGGCGGCTTCCATGCAAGAAAAAGGGGGGGAACGAGCACGGTTCCCGAACCCAAGCTGCCATGGGAAGCCTTGCTTCCGCCTTTGCCCGGCTGCTGCACCAAGCGTGCAGACAAACCCCCGATTTCGGCTCGAAAACGGCGGTTTGTGGCGAAGGGACAAACCCACGATTTCGGCTCGAACAGAGCGGTTTGTGGCGGAGGGGACAAGCCCACCGGCTCGAAAAGGGCGATTTGTGGCGGAGGGGACAAACCCACGATTTCGGCTCGAAAAGGGCGGTTTGTGTTTCAGCTCCACAAAGGCGGCTTCCATGCAAGAAAAGGGGAGGGGAACGAGTCAACAACCGAGGCTGCCAGGAAAAGGGCACAGGGTTTGAGGGTTCGCGAGTTGAGGGCTGCAGGCTGTTTCGAGTTTGGAACTATGCGACTTCTCAGACGTCACGGTCGCAGAGACTCCGGATCCCTTGTGCAGTTCTTGCAACTGCAAGGAATATGTCTGAATTAGTGAACCGTGGAGTCACGCTCTGAAGTTTAGCGGGGCTGCTCGTCGAAGCCTGCTCGACCCAGTGAACATGAATCCTCTCTCCCGGGTGTGTTCATGGCTGCTGCCAGCCGCCAAAATCTCTGCGCAAACCAGCATTGACATGGTTTGGACATCAGGAACTTGAACCCTCAACCTTCAACCTTAACCTTAGACCCTCAACCCTGCACGGATCTCTGTGCCAATTACCCACTCATCACCATCGAGGATCGTTTTGCTCAGGCATCGGACACCCAAAAGACTTGTGCAAACTCGATTGCTTGCTGCCCTTCACTTGCAAGCAACTAGATCCGGACAGGCGGCAGGGAAAATCTTCACTGCGAAGGTCAGTGGCCCCACCCAGGTGGCCGCATGTTCGGAACATCCAGTATGCAGCTGCGCGCGTTTGACAATGGCACGGAAGAAAACCATTGAAAACAAAGCCTACCACGAGTGCCGTAGCCAAGGAACGCAGCTTCCGATGTTCATTCTAGGCTTGGCGATGAGTGTGGCATGCGACGTGTGGCAGTGCTCCCAAGGCTTCTGCTGAAAGTCCATCAGATCCGCGCCGTCTCTGAGTCTATTGATGCAAGCCTGCTGCATTTGCTTTGCTGTCTGGCGATGTTGTACAGAATCCCGATCTGCTTGTTATCGCAGGCAGTCCAGCTGTGCAAGACCAATGGCTTAGCGTTTTGTGCCTGCCCCGAGACATTTCCCGTGATAGTAAGCTAGCCTCAGCTCCTCGTGTTGAGGTGCTCCCACCGATCTGGCACACAGAGGACACCACTGTCCCCGACTCGGCCTTTGGTTTCTGCGCGAAACTTGACTCTAGGATTTGGAGATTAGGGTTTAAAGTTTAGGATTCAGGTTTGGAGCTTCGTGCCTGGGCAACCTTTGGTACTGGCCATTCGTGTTGTCCAGTGTAAAGTCTTCTGCTTTTCCAAACTCCGTCACGGCTTTCGGCACAGATAGCGCTTCCTCAGGAGAGCCTGAACAAAAGCCAGACTTCGGAGCGAACTCTGTGTGCGCAACCTCGGGTCCGGAGGATACGGGGGTGTGGCGGACCTGAACACACTGTGTTTGATGTGCATGTTTGTTCTTCCATGGAGTGATAGATCGGGTGCCGAAATCTGAATGGTTGTGGATCTCGATGCTGCAGACTATGCTCGCTCACGGTGCTGCGAGTACGATGTTCTTATACCGCCTTTCAATCTATAGGACCCGGAGAGAGTCTAAAGAGTCATTGTCCTTGAAACATTTCTTCCTCGTTGTCTGCGGAGGCTCTGCGTGCCCGGGCGGCTCGCCGCGAGAGGTCGCGACGCGGCCCTGGCGAGGCGACGCGTGGCTTGGGAGGCATTTACGCCATTGCTTTACAAGTCCTCAGTACGTTGCACTGCGTGACGAAGCAGACACCTGCGCAGGGGGAAGCTGGCTCGGCGTCTAGTCAACCGCCGCCTGCTGCAGCGCCAAGCTAGCGGAATGCCTTCTGGTAAGCGCCGTGCTTCTGGACAAGGAGTTGGAGTTGGCTCGCCCACCAAGTTCGGTGCGCCTTTCGGAAAAACCCTGCAGGCGACAACTCCGCCTCCGCTACTAATTGTAGCCATGGCCTATGCATCTGTGGGCAGTTACGTCCACGAACACCTCTCGGGGACGGCCGTCACTGCCGTAGTGCTCCAGCGGGACAGCTACTACCCCTGTCCTCTCCGGAAACTGCGGGAAGCCGGCAAGATTGCAGGCACCACGAATGACATCCCGTCCTCGCTCGATGACCTTCTCAACTTCGGCTGCCTCCTTCGCATCAGCGGCGAATTCGACAAGCAAGGTACTAATCAGGTGGCTTGGCAGAAATCCTTTTTCTCCGACGATGGCGCAACCGGACTCCAATACCTGTTGCAGTTGATTGCGAAATGCGTGGAAAGTTGTACCTCCCGTCCTGAGTACATCCTTTTTCTCCGACGATGGCGCAACCGGACTCCAATACCTGTTGCAGTTGATTGCGAAATGCGTGGAAAGTTGTACCTCCCGTCCTGAGTACATCCTTTTTTTCCGACGATGGCGCAACCGGACTCCAATACCTGTTGCAGTTGATTGCGAAATGCGTGGAAAGTTGCACCTCCCGTCCTGAGTACATCAACAAAGGCTTCCCTCTCCACTTTACGAACTATACTGCTCTCGCCGGGACCTGCCGCAGACACCTGCTTTCCAGACTCTTCCTGCTGGTTCCAGTCCTCCCTGGCATGCCGTCCAGCTCCCAGCGCCTACCGGACGGCCGTTGGTGGCTGTGTTGCTTCTCCAAGCGGACACAGCGACATTGGCCGTCAAGGGCTGAACTTGGAATCTCCGCGACACATTGCAGGGCCTCGGCTTAGGGCGTGTGACCACTGAGCCTGAGAACGGTGCCACCGAGACATGGTTCATGACCAATGCCTTGACACAGGAGGCAGTGATTGACATCGTCAACCAGCTCGTCGAATATGCTCCGCTTGGGGTTGCTCTTGACCCTGCCACATCCGTGGACGCCTCCATCTCGACTGGCTTCTTGAACCGTCTCACAGCCAAGGCTTATCGTATCTGACAGCATGCGCGCTGAACAGCATACCTGCAGCAATGCTGCACATCGCAATTCTCTTCACTCCTGCTGCGTTGCAGCGACTTCTGACTTTTCCATTACGATTCTGCTCGCCGCGGCCTCAAAATGCGTTTCCACTGGAAAAGATTCCTTCATTTGCAGTTCACCTGGCGTGCCAGTCTGTCCATGACAGGCCGCTTGCAGCTCCACTACGCCGTCACCGCTCGCGCAGAGCCTTGATGACTTCTCTTCACGAACCTCCACGTCCGCAACCGACTGCAATGCCCAACTCCTTACTTATAATCTGCTACGCTTCAGCTCCTACGCTTCAGCTCAGGCTTCAAACTCCATCCGCAAAAACGCGTCCCGGCCATGAACCTACATGAGCTTTGCGTATGCCACAAGATGCCGCAGCCTGCGCGCAATGCCCTTTCGAGGTCGCTAACCTGCCGTGATACACGCGTGACCCTCGACTTCCTGACACGCGCCTCCTGAGCCGCTCGCCATGCATCTTTGTGTTCGTTTGCTCGTCACTTTGCGCCGACATTTTGCCTGTCCCCTACTGTGCCAAGGTTGCGCCGGATCAGCCGCACTGTCCTGCCAAAAACTGAACTTTTTCCGGATGCTCTGCCCCTGCATGTCTTCTCTGCGCCTGCATGCATACAGGCCTGCCTCTGCGCCGACGGCATTTTCGAGCCTGCTTCCCCACCGCGACCGCGACCTGCCGCCAGCCATGAATGGTGACGCCCGCACCGCAGTCATAGCTTTTGCTTTTCAGCTCCAGCTCCTTAGCTTCTATTTCAATGTCTAGGTCTCGCGGCGCACACCGTCCTCGAAGATCTTGCTCTGCCGAGAATTCCTACCTGGAATTCTGTTGACAAAAGCAAGTACCGGTTCCTGTTGTATCTGAACCAAATCTTCAGGATCTCGAGCAACCTCTTACATGGAATCAGTGGCAGCGCCGAGCTGGAAAAAACCACTGCGGCTGCTTACCGCGATGCTACGCTGGCGCGCTTCGGTGCTGACTGGAAGAATTCACTGCGACCGGTGCCACTTGGATAGCACATCAACCCTAGTCTTGGCCTGTCCTGTCCATTGATCTCGTCAGCTCTCCAAACACCAGCGAGCTCCTGCTCGACGTCTTCTCCGCGACATCAGCGCTTCTGCTCGAGACATTCGTGCTCACGCCTCGGTGTTGTGCTTGGGAGCCGAACCGCAAGCTCTTGCCAAGAAGCTGCTGCGCGCCGCGAATGAAGTTGATCGTGCAGTGAACAAGCTTCAATCTCGGCTGGCCTCGAAGCAGCGCCGACGTGTTTCACCTGCATCAGTCGGTAATTTGAAATGGAAGCGTGCTCCGTGCTCAAAGCCACATGTTTAAGCGCCATGCTGAATTCTTTTCCACTTCCTTCAGCATGCAGACGCGACACGCAAGGGCGAGCCCTGTTGCAATTTAACATGCAGCTCTCTGCCACTGCGTCTTTCTTGACTCGCTCCGCCTGCGGCTCCCACACCTGCAGCAAGCAAGGGCAAACACAAGACTGCAGCCAGCCCGCGAAAGAAGACAGCCTTCACACTCTTTGCGCCACAGACATCAGCTTTGTCACTGAGGTCTCCACTTCAAGACTTCCAACAGATGCTGCCCACAGATGCCGTTTCCCTAACAACGACATCAGCTGACGTTTCTGCACGAACACCTGCGCATTTTGCAATCTGTGCCAGGTCTCGCCATCAGTGCCTGCATGGTTGCCGCCATCACTCGCGAAAATGCCCGAGCGTTTAGCTTGCGATGTTTCCTTACGGACAAACACCTCGCCCACACTCTGCTCCACTGCATTGTTGGCCATGCTTCGAATGGGAGCAAACGACGCTCTGCACGCCGTCTGCCGCCCTGACGCCGAATATAATATTAACGTCTCTCTGCCTTCTTGTTCCTCGGCATTTCAACTCCTTGTCCCTGGCTTTCGTCCGTCCTGCTCTCAAGTGGGTGGAGGGGCAGTCAACTTCCCTTTGCTCCCAATGCGACCGACGGATGGAGCAATGCCATTTCTGCCTCGGGGTGCCGTGGGTCACCCCGCCAGGTCATCGCGCATGATGGGTGCTCAACGTGATGGGGTCGATCGTGCTCCGTCGCCGGCTCCCCGGCCCAAGCCCAATGGCAAAGCCGGCCGCGGACCCGCAGCCCTTTGCGGCTTCAGGTCAAGACCAAGCCTACCCAGCTCGCCCGAAGCCTAAAGCGCGGCCCCTTGCCGCTCTGCGGGTGACGCACTGGAGGAGCCCAGCGAGCTCTGCTCGGACTCTCCTGATCCGAGCGAAAACTTTTAAGCTGGCGTTCAGTGTTTTGTTCGCTGGGAATATCTCCTCGGATTTTTCGTTCGGACGATGTGAGGTGCGACCGCCAGCATTACTGGTGCGCCCCCCCCGGTGATCGGGGTCGTCCGTTCGGATTGGTGAAGATCCGAGATGTTCAGATTTTGATGCCGATCTGCGGCCGACTCCCACGTTGCGGTCGCACAGAAAAAGTATGACTGCGATCGTTGGCTGTTCAGCGACTGTCAAGCGGTGTAGATCGTGTAAACTGATATATAATATATACATATACATATACATATACATATACATATACATATACATATACATATACATATACATATACATATATATATACAAACATAAATGTATATATACATATTATATATACATATACATA